ACAGTGGAGGTGGAGTTCAAAGAAGAATGAGAAATTTAATGGTTTCAATCTGCCCTTGTTTTTCCTTTTTCTTTTTATTTTTGCATGTTATCACTGTGCCCGTTTTTTGCTTTTATTCTTTGTTCCGCAAAGTGCGCTCTTTTAGTTTGTAGTGATGTGACAATATATATATATATATATATATATTGTCAAACAGAGATGGCCGGTAAACCGTAGGCAGAGAGGGAGGGAGGGAGAAGAGGACAACAAACGAGGGGCTGTGATAAACTGTTTCGTCGGAGTTTCACCTCTTCTTCCTCTCTGCCTACGGTCGGCGGGCAGCTCTGTTTGACGATATATGTTCAGGGAAAAAAAAAAAAAGGTTGGAAGAGCAATTTCACCACTTACCAGTCAAGACTCAAGACTGATGCCCCAAATACCTATTTGAGGCTATTTATGATGCCCAGCGAGACAAAAGGGAAAAGATTTGTACCACTCTACTTGAACAGGATATGCTCCTTAGGTAGTACACACTCTTCTGTATCTACGCAAACAGCAAAAAAAAAAAAGAAGAGAAAAAAAAAAAAGAAGAACTCTGAAGAAGACTATTCCGCTGCGGCGCACGGGCAGATTCCTCACATCATGCGGCGCACTGCACCGTGCGGCTGCAAGTATGGAATGTATACAACCCAGCTTTAGGGTTGGGTGGGGATGTGTATTATAATACTATTATTCGAGGGATGGCTGAACTGCGTTTAAAACTGAATACGTGACTGCTCCATAGTCGCCCCTATTTTTTTTTTTGTTTTCCCGACACAACGGGTCCTTATGCTCCTGGCTCAATCTCATGTATTGTTCCAAGTTACAATCTGGGTTTTTTTTTTTTTTTTTTTTTTTTTTTTTTTTTTTTTTTTTTTTTTTTTTTTTTTTTTTTTTTTTTCCAAGTTCCAATCTGAATGGATGTTGCAAAGGACTTCTGTCTAAGTTGTTGGCTCTCCTTTTTTTTTTTTTTTTTTTTTTTTTAATGGACGCTGTGAATAGTTCCCAGCACATGACATTCCTCACGAATAAGATGGGAATCACCAGTACAGTCAGTCCTTCATCAGGTCTGGGCTCCTTTTTTTTTTTTTTTTTTTTTCCGACTCTCCTGAAAATTTGTAAAATTAAAAAATAAAAAAATATCATCCGTCAGTGACTCAGTGCTTTAGTAGAACTCGACTACTTACCCCGACGAGCAGGAGGATTTTCTTGTTACCGCCTTTGATTTTGCCTCCCAATGCCAAAATGAACTGTGCCACGAACTCTGGGTGGCCTGGCCATGCCGCGCCTGTCACAAGCTTACCGTCCGTAAAACATCGAGATATGGGATCAGCGTCAAGCCATTCAGCTCCGGCGGCAATCACGAAAGGCTTCACCGCAGGATAAGCTGTGCACTTTTTCCCCTTGAGAACTCCTGCTGCACCAAGAATCAGCTGCCCGTGACAGATGGAGGCAATCGGTTTGTCGGCATTATGAAATTGCTGGACGATGGAAAGCACGGCCTGATCCAAGGACAGGTACTCAGGAGCTCTCCCCCCTGGAATCACCAGCCCATCGTAATCGCTGACTTTCACTTCCTTAAAACATTTCGTCAATGTAAAATTGTGACCACGCTTCTCGGAATAAGTCTGAAATCCACACACACACACACACACACACACACACACTCAATCAGTTTTATGCCTGTCTGTCTTTCTCCTGTTGTTTGTGCTCCATCCGTTTTTTTCTAAGTATTTTTCTATGCGCCCAACTGAGCACCCTTAAGTAGTGCCAAACAGTCCGTGGTTCCTCGTTTGGAGTGCCAACTGCACTCTTAGGGGGGCCGCTCGGTTCGGGATGTCTGTGTTGCCTGTCGGTGATGACGGATGTTCGTCGGAGTGACTCCCTGGCTCAGTGCGTGGTGGGAATCAACAGTCTGCGGGGTTCTATCGTGATGTGAGTAGGTCATGTGCTGCTTTGCTCCGTGTTGGATGTGTGGACGTCCTCGTCTGCGCTCCGCCGGTGCCCTGCTGCCTGTCTCGCTTGCTTCACGTGTGGTTCTTTGCGGGTTGATGTGTTCGCTGTGCGGTGTGGCCGTGTTGTTGGTGTTGCCTTGCGCTTCGCTGCTCCACTGCCATGCTGCTCATCCGTTGGTCGTGCCTTCCGTGCTTGCTGCTTGTGTCCCCTGTAGGTTGGTTGCCTTGTTGCTGGTGCCTTGTGCTCCGCTCCACGGTTGCCCAGCTGCTGGGTCACTCGCCCTGTCGTCCCCGCAGTGCTGTTGCCTTGCTTGTGTTGCCTTGTGCTTCACTGCACAGCTGCTGCGCTGCGTGCCATGTTGTTGCTTGCAGTCGTTTTTGGCGTTGTGCAGCCGTGTTGCCTCTACTGTGTTGCCTGGTGCTTCACAGGGTTGCTGCCCGCTGCTATGTTCCTCTTGGGGACAGTCTGCCTTCAACAAGGGTCAAAGGGTTCATGACCCAAACCATCAAATACGGGGATTCCGCAGATTGTCGAGGGTTCAGCCTCCTGATGAGTCGGTGCAATTCCGACGAAACAATCTTGTTATCATCAGTTTCTTTTTTTAGGTCCTTCGTTTTTTTTGGGACTTGTATTTTTTTTCGTTTTGTCTGTTTCCATCGGTACTTCTTGTTTCTCAGCTTGCTGTCTTTGCTACGTCTTATCGTGTTTTTGTGCCCGCCCGCCTCCCCAGTGCCCTCCAGCCTTTGTGTTTTGTTGTTGTTGCTTGTCATCTATGTGCCTCGTACTTCTCATCAGTGTGCATGACCTCTTGTTTACTGCTCTTTGCCCCCTCGCCATGTTCTTGACTGGTTGGCTTCAACAGCAGGGCATTTAGCTTCTCCTTGTTTGCTTGTTTTGGTCATGCCATATGAAGTGGACAATTTATTTTTCTGGTATGTTCCTTGACGTGCCTTTTCCGCGCACTCGCCGCCTCGATCGACGTGGGGGTTTAGTAACAAATATTACACACAACACACACACACAGGTTGGTGTTAGTAAAGCCGACCACTTTTCTCAGGGGTATCGCCAAGTCTGGCCGATGTGGCGAGTCCTTACCCATCAGTCAAATGCATTCCGCGTAGACTGCCGGGGTTCAACCTCCTGATGAGTTGGTGAAAGTCCCCAGTCATGCTTTTTGTTGAGTTATGTATGGCAAACATGACAACACACACACACACACACAGAGAGAGAGAGAGAGAGAGAGAGAGAGAGAGAGAGAGAGAGAGAGAGAGAGAGAGAGAGAGAGAGAGCACCGACACTTGGTATATCAAGCTATATCCATCCAACCCCTGCTCCACAGACAACACACAGGCATTGTGCACAGGCACTCATGCGCGCGCACACACACACACACACACACACACACACACACAGAGACAGAGTCCATTCATCAGCAAGAGCTGGAGGGCGTGTAGAACAGAAATAGTTTTGACTTCCAAGGATGGAGGAGTGGACGTGCGAAGCGAGACTGGAAACAACCACTACGCACATATGATGGGTGACACATCCAGTGTCTGGGATAGGTGCTAGAAATTCGCAAATTAGATGGCGTATGGGACCATTAGATCTCACCCAGGTATGGAAGAGAATAAACATGCACAGCATGGGACTGCAAGCCCTCATATGAGACTGGAACCCCTCACATGGGACTGGAACTCCTCATATGGAACTGGAACTACCCTCTCTCACATTGGACTGGAGCTCCTTGTGGCTGTTCCTGAGCACATGGGACTGGAACTCCTCACATCGGGGACCGGAACTACTTGCATGGGACTGGAACTCCTCACATGGGACTGGAACTCCTCACATGTTACCAGAACTCCTTGCATGGAACTGGAACTACCCTCTTTCACATGGGACTGGAACTCCTTGTGGCAGTTCCTGAGCACACGGGACTGGAACTCCTCACATCGGGGACCGGAACTACTTGCATGGGACTGCAACTCCTCACATGGGACTCGAAACTCCTTGGTGTTCCCAATCTGGAACTCCTTGAGCAGTTCCAGTCCACACATTTACCCTCTCCCACATGGAACTGCAAATGCTTGTTGCTCTTCCCAAGTGCATCGGGCAGGAACAAAGTTGCCCCGCGGCAATGGCATCGGGCAATTTTTTCATAGCCAGTCTGGACTCATATGAGGAGAAGGAGAGCGTGGTACCGTGGTGGTGCCATGGTGGTATCATGATGGTACCGTGATGGTACCATGGTGGTACCATGGTGGTGCCATGGTGGTACCGTGGTGGTACCGTGGTGGTACCGCAGTGATACCGCGGTGGTACCATGCATGAGGAGAAGGGGAGCGTGGTACCATGGTGGTACCATGGTGGTACCATGCAAAGTTGACTGGCACCATGGTGGTACTGCTGCAGAGACATTGGGAGCACGTGTGTGAGGAGAAGGGGAGCATGGTACCATGGTGGTCCCAGTGTATTTCAACCAATTACATAGCACACTCCGCTCGGCACATAGCACAGCCCACTCTGCACTGCACATAGCACAGTCTACACTGCACATAGCACAGTCTACTCTGCACATAGCACACTCCACTTGGCACATAGCACAGCCCACTCTGCACTGCACATAGCACAGTTTACACTGCACATAGCACAATCTACTCTGCACATAGCACAGTCTACTTCTGCACATACCACAATCCACTCTGCACATTGCACAGCATCCTGGACGCTGAATGACACACACGAGTGGGCACACAGAAATTGATCAAAATCGGTGAGTGATAATCCACAGATGTTTTTCAGAGCCAAGCAGCGACGGGAAGAGGCTGACCTGGTCGCCTTCGAAGTCGTGGACAGCTGTGCGGATGATGCCACCGGCTTGTTTCCCCGGGCACACGGCGTCGACATGGATTCCGAATGCTTGTAGGGTCTGAAAGGGAACCATTACCTGCATCACACGTGTCGCAAAACAGCAGCACAGAACATGCCAGGTAACACAAATTTGTTCTTTGCTGCTGGTTTTTTTTTTTTTTTTTTTTTTTTT